TCGATCAGTTTTTTGCCAGCAAAGACCAAAAATTTTATGAGCGTGGAATTATGCTACTACCAGAAAGATGGCAAAAGGTGTTGGACCAGAACGGTCAATATATAATTTAATAAAGTATTTGTTTATTATACGAAAACTGTCTTTCATTTTCACAAAAAAAAACGAAATGACTTTCCGAACAACCCTATATATTTACTATTTATTGTATAACGCGCACTTCTGTTAGTAAAACAAGAATGGCAATTGCTTCAGTTTCATTTATAATTGTTCAAAACTGAAGGGATACGCGATAATAATTTTAAGATGATTATTGGTTAAAAAGATTTATTTACGTGGTGCAATCGTTCTATGTTAATAATGAGCCGTGTTACCTTGATAACAGTAATGACTTAGGGGTGCAATCCTGCTATTCCACAGTTAATATTATAAAAGAAAGCAGCGTCTAATTTAGGCTTTTCAAAACATTAGCTTATACATGTAATAAGACTACCTAGTATAACGAATAACTACACAAGTTAACACTCCACTTGACTGATTAATTCTAATTGACAAATAAGAATATACAATAAATATCACTGCTTCAACTTTACACTTTATTGATTTGCTTGAAAATTACAACGTTTAACTACCCTGTCAAACTTGTCTTATAAAAGAAAAACAAGTAATTATTATAGGTAATTAGTGTTTACGTCAGTCAAATAAGGACAGTTTGGAGCAACATTTTATGATTATTAGAACTTCAGTAACAAAGACTGACATATTTCGCATCATACATCAAAATAAAGACCTAATATCAGGTGAATAAAACCAGTAACTTACAAAGAGAGAACAAGTAAAAGAATACTAACAAGCGCGATATTAATATAAATTTTATATGTAGATGAGGGTACCGCACTAACATTAATCAAACTGGTCAAATTCTAGTATAAGTAAATCGTACAGCTTCAGTTCAAGAGATTTTTCTAACAAGATATTAAAAATTGTTAGTGGGTATGTTTATTACGTATCAGTAGTTTTTAGACAAGGAATTTTTTTTTAATTTAATTTTATGAATTACTCTTCAATGTGTACAAGTTAAAAAAGTGGTGATTATCTCAAGTCAAAGGTCTTATTAATTCGAAGCTCTTGTTTTGTAAGAAACTACACAACTTTTTTAAAAATCTTGTCTAAATAGTAGTAGAAGGTTCGATCTTATAGTCCTTTATCTTAAGAAAATTCGAAGATGAACTTTACAATATCCGAAGTTTTAAATTTACTCGGCTGGGCCATGCTGCCGAATCCAGCATAAATTATTTCACAGCGTGCTTTGTAATATTGTGACTAATCAAATTCATATTCATATCCAGCAACTGAATAAAAGTCTATAAAATAAACTTCTTTATGCCTTAATATTCCTAAGAGAAAACCTTGGTAACATTAGTGCCCAATATTTTAATAAAATAGTTTGTAAAAAAGTTTTATTGTATAGTATGAAGCCAAAGCCGAAAAGGGTTGTTTATTTTTTCCAACGTTTCGCCTTACTTATCGACCATTCTCAAGGCTAGTTTTTAACGTTTCGTACCTTAAAAGAAAAAAAAGAAACCCTTATAAAATCACTTAAGGAACCTGTAAAGGTATCAAGTTGGACCTGGAATCCCTTGAAACTGTGCAACAATCAAACTCCTAATCAACGCAATCAAGATATTACGGTCATTTATAGCTCTTTGAAGTTGTTACCCCCAAATGCGAATTTTTTAACGAAATTGGCACGGTTCGTTTGTCTCAGATGAGCCCAACATTTATTCGTTAGTCCACCCTTAGGGCAAAATTTATAACAATAAAAATTTTTCTAGTTGATCCAACTGAAAATAAAAATTTAGTTGTTTTATTATAATAAAAAAATTTTTTTTTCAACTTTTGAACCAGTGGTGGGCTAACGGAAACAAAAGTT